TTTTTTTTTTTTATTAATTTATTGGATAGAAAAGTCTATTGGACTTGAGTAAGGTTTTTAATATAAAATAATGCAATGTTCCCTTGGACTTCCTATATTCCCTATTTTGTCCTGTCTGTCATAAGTGATATGCGAATTCTAACTGCTGGACGTTTATGTTACTAACATCTGATATGCTGTTGGAGTCAGCTCACGGTGCTGCATTTATTTCCTCATCAAGCTGGAGCATTCTCTTCACATACAGCTATTATCTTTGAATTTCTGGCTTCTAATAGTCAATGAACAAAATCACCTGGTATTACAAAATTGTGCGCCTTTCCTCCGTATGTTTTGAATAATGTGTCACCCCCTCTGTGATTTTGTTTACTCAACATGTTTGCCTTTTCTGTCAAATGGACACAAAAACAATAAAATTTGTTAATCTTTCCCTTATACTGTCGATTTAGGTCAGTGATGAGGTAAATTAAGCACACCTCCTTGGGTACTAAAAGTTGTTCTATTATAGAATGCCAAAAGTGATAACAAGTGGGTTTGAAACCTGTGCCAACAATTTAAATTTATGGTACCGGAAACATTGGGGAAACCAACAATATGAAGAATATCTGAAATGTAAACAGATGCAGTTAAATCATTACAAACAATACTTTATTATAATGTATTCCATGCCTGAGCAATGTTGCAGTTGGTTGGGTGTTTATAGGTTGGTATGACAAGGGTGGAAGTCCAAATCTGAATAATTCTGTTATTTTTGGGTGTTTGTCATAAAGGTAAGGCGACAACTTCATAAGATGGGAAAAAATTAATAGTACTTGAACTCATGGCATATGTGATAAACTTCACAATCCAGAGGTGCACGACACATTTTTTTTTTCTTTTTTTTTTTCTTTTTCATACAAAGGGGGGAAACATTCAGAATTTCGTTATCACATCCGGTCTTTGGTGCATTTTGTCCTAAAAAAATATTAACTATTCAAGTTTAGACCTTATGTTGTGTCTCAACTTATCTAAGTTGATAGAGGTTTGAACAATTTTACTGCCCCCTCTCATGATAGAATAATATCATGAGACTTAAAGCTCCACCATTTTTGATGTATTTTTCGTGAAGGTGAGAAACCTTGGCAAGCCGGTGGATCTTGCTGGACAATATTATAAAGATGGAGCTGATGAGGTATGCCATGCCCTTCCATAATGCTGATTATAACTGAAGTTTGCTCAATCTTTTCGAGCGAGGGGACAATTTTATAATGGACATTTCAAAATCTCCAATCCTAATTAAAAAAAAAAAGAGAGATTTTTTTTTTGTTCGTGACTATCCAAAAAGTCATTTCAAATTAACCTTCAATCACCCATTAATGGGAAAATGTACTTTTACATTCAAAGGTCCATTTGCAAATTGCTTCCTGAACAAGCACGACCCTTATAGACCTTACAAGAACGAACGATAGCAATATGAATGAAAGAAATGACATAGACAATATATTATAAAATACTATTCTATATCTTTACTGATGAAAACTTAAAATTCCTCAATTGCACTTTACAGGTCAGCTTCTTGAATATTACTGGCTTTCGGGACTTTCCTCTAGGTGATTTACCAATGCTGCAGGTCTGTTTTCTTGGGAATCTAAATCTTAATGGGTACCTCAATATGGCTTTTTGTTGCTATTTATTGGCTTTAAAAGTTAAATAGTGAGGCAAAATGCACAGAATTTTTGGGTATCCATCTATGTTACATCGTCAGTTAATATTTTGAAAACTCAGTATCGAAGTTGAGAATACAAAGATCGTTGCTATAGAGGCATGACATTTAAAATATTTACCAATTACCTGTCTTTTAGGTACTGAGGTATGCATCAGAGAATATATTTGTGCCGTTAACAGTTGGAGGTGGTATTCGAGATTTTACTGATGCAAATGGCAGGTAAATATCTCATCTTTGTTAGTGTTGGCTGTTTGTAACTTTTTGTCTTCCTCTAGTGTTGGTAGAAAAAAATTGACAGTCAAAGTTTCACAAAGTAACTTTCCGGTGATAGGTTACATTTTTTGTTGCATTGCTGACTAAGAAAGTGTGACCTAGGTATTACTCAAGTTTGGAAGTTGCTTCAGAGTATTTCCGATCTGGTGCAGACAAAGTTTCGATTGGAAGTGATGCAGTTTATGCTGCTGAAGAATACCTGAAGACCAAAGTAATATTTCTTATTCTCCTAATTTAATTTGTATAGTTTGGGAATTCATGTTGTTGATAATTGGCTTTTTTCTAAGGTAAAAACGGGTAAGAGCAGCCTGGAGCAGATCTCTAGAGTTTATGGGAATCAGGTGAGGCTCATCATCTTCAGTAGATATTTGTTGTCTTCCATATGCCAATTGACAATCACGTAGTCCTTTTCTTATTTTGTAGAACAAAAATTCCGCTCTAATAATTTCTGTGTTTTCTACCTTTTCAAAACATAGGCCGTGGTTGTAAGCATTGATCCTCGTAGAGTGTACGTGAAGGATCCCAGGGATGTTGAATTCAAGTCGGTGAGAGTTTCAAAGCCAGGTAAGCAATTGTGATAGTCACTTGAACATTGCTTTTCACACTTTTTGTTTGCTGAGCTCCTCCAACTTTACATGAAAATGGTTTTTGGAGCCAGGAATATTGACATGTTTCTCGTCATGTAGTTCACTAATAAAATGAAACCTAGAACAATTCATTATAAAAAAGAAAAATGCAGATTTCATACATAATAGGTTTTTTTTTTCCTTTTTTTTTTTTCAGGTCCGAACGGCGAGGAATTTGCATGGTACCAGTGCACTGTACGTTTTAGTTGCTCCCTTTGCTTCTACAAAAAACACATTCGTCCAGTTTACCAAGTTAATTGGAGAAATGAAATCTATAACAGTTCCATTGATTTTATTAAAACATAATATGATGAAGAATGCGAAAGACGGAACCGATGTTTTCATATTAACAAATCTTCATCAGTTTATCACTAGGAATTGGATCTGAGAAGTGCACATGTGCATATTAATTGCTTTTGCCCTAAATGTGATCGTGCAATATATTGTAGTAGCTCGTCTCTACTATCAGTATCAGTTGGCTTTTCGAAGGTTATGTGAATGCTGTGCTTGTGTACGCGACACTCAGCGGCCCCGTCTTCAGGATTTAATTTGATTCTTATCCTTTAGTGTTCGGATAGTTTTACTGAGTAACATCAGTTGTCTTTTTGGATGCGTGAAATTATCTAAGTAATTCTTGCGTAGGTGAATGGTGGGCGAGAAGGCCGACCAATTGGAGCATATGAGCTTGCTAAAGCTGTTGAAGAACTCGGGGCTGGTGAAATACTCCTAAATTGCATTGACTGTGATGGTATGGTTTATTCTTTTGCTTTTTCTAGCAGGTTTATTTTATAGAAGTGTATTTAGGAATTATTGCTTTGTCTTCATTCTCTTTTACTGTTACTTTAGGATGTGTTTGGCATCTACATGTTCCATTTTCTTTTACTACTTTAGGATATGTTTGGCATCTACATATTCCATTTTCTTTTTCAATAGAGAGACCAGGATGACAAGTTAAAATTGATTTGCTACCCTTTGTTCTTATGGAAACTTTCCCCATTCCTCTCTAATTGAAAAGCTAGTAACAACCCAAAATCTCTTCTTTTCCACTTTCTTGGTTTCTTTTCACTTTCTCTCCTTCATACTGCTTAATCATTATTTGGAATAAAAGGACACATTGTGGATTTTTTTAAATTTATGATTTATATTTATACAAAAAGGTCCGACTGCGTCTGATTGTTAACCACGGTATTGGTGCGGTACCTTACCAGGTCAGGGGAAAGGATTTGATATAGATCTCGTAAAGTTGATATCAGATGCAGTGAGCATTCCTGTGATAGCAAGTAGTGGTGCTGGATCTGTCGAACATTTTTCTGAAGTTTTCTCTAAAACAAATGCGTCTGCTGCCCTTGCTGCCGGTATTTTCCATCGAAAAGAGGTACAGTTTGAGAAAAGCTAAGCAGCGAATTATAATGCATTGTGACCCTGAAATGCCAGGTTATTTATGAAATAACCATTATAAATTATTAACTTGGTTGGTGTACCTAATTATGAATGAACAATTCACACTGAGAAGGGAGTTAATCATAAAATAAATTATTTTTGACGAGAACTTAACCGAAGAATAGTTTCAAAGATACATTCATGACATAATGACCCTAGTTGCCACTTTTAATAAACGATGGAGACATTACATTATTCTCATCTCTGGCTTTTTACTGATTGGTTGTCTATGTCGTCATTTCATGTATTGCAGGTGCCCGTCCAGTCTGTGAAAGAGCACCTACTAAAAGAAGGCATAGAAGTTAGGATGTGATTTGGTGTAGCTTTGTGTTTTTTGCAGATGCACTTAAGGTACAAATACATTTTCCGGCATGCTACAAATTTTTGTTGATTTATTCAAATAGACCTTTTAAAGGATGTATTTAGCTCCAGTCTAGTATTTGTCCGACCCGCAAATTTCACCTGGTCATTGTAATTGTATTTTGCTCAATAACAACGGGAACTTTTTTCGTCAGGAAACAGTCGAGTGGGTGATTTCTGAAGCTGACTGAATGGTATGTGCTGAAGATGGAAACAGATGGTAGAGATGCCATGACCTCCTATTTCTTAGACCAAATCACTTTCTGTTGATCCTTACAAAGGATTGTGATTAGGATGGGCAGTGTGGTTCAAAATATTTCATTACAAATTAACCGAGCTCAATATGGAATATCATGGATCTGTGCATGTAACTTCTCGTTTGCTGTTTCAAGTCGAACCATTCGATACAAACAAGGTCTTGAAGATATGAAGATTTACAGGACAAAACAACTTGGAAAAAATTGCTGGTTGTGCTTATAGGGAGTAATAGCAATATCTGAAACAATTGCTGAAGCTGTATGTGTATGTTTACTTTAAGGATTTAAACTTTAGGAGCAAATTATTGGAGACAAATTATAAGTTTGGGTTTTATATATTCTCACACAACCAAAAAAATAAATAAATAAATAAATAAATAAAGGAGAGAGAGAGAGAGAGAGAGAGAGAGAGAGAGAGAGAGAGAGAGAGAGAGAGAGTTGGTAGTGCATAAATTATGAGTTTGGGTTAAGCTAACAATACATACTAAATAACATCCATCATAGGAATCACACTCCCACGTTAGCTAAAACCACTACTCACTAATCTTATTAAAAAAACACAACACACACCCAAAGTTGTCATGCACGAACCCAGCAACAAAAGATAAACAAGCTTTCCCAATTTCTCTAAGGGGATCCCGAGCCACCGACACCGCCATCTGAACCACCAGCGCCGCTTCCGAAACCTATATCCCCACCAACTGAACCTCCGGCCCCACCACCGAACCTCGCTCCTATGCCGAGCCCACGCCCAATGCCGACCCCTATGCTGCCGTCAAAGCTGCCGCCGACTCCTACATCGACACCTGCGCCAAGGCCGCCGCCGCCGCCGCCACCCGGCCTCCTGCCACCAGTTTCATTGTCCGGCGAGCCGCCTCCGAGGTCATCGGAAGGTTTGACCTGCTGCCCAAAGGCATGAACAATGCAAAGAAATATGAAAAAAACCACTAGTGCAGCAGATTTCTTCATTGTTATATATCTTACTGTTGGGTATGAAATTACTGTAGGGTGAGTGGTTTATATATATATGAAGAGATTTTGGATTATACCTTTCTCAATAACTTTCTGAGTCAAATCAGTCAACATTGTTATATGGGTTTGGGGTCATTAGTAAATGCATTAATGCTTCTGACTTCTGAATCCATGCAAATTCTTGAAAAATAGCAAATTCTTGAAAAATAGCATTCTGTAAAACACGTTTGACTAAATTAATACTGATTTCATGAGAGATGGATACTAAAAAAACTGTGCTATTTCTTGGCTTTTATGAATTAAGTCACCTGATTGGAGTCAGTTCGAATTCCGCCGATGCATGCAAAGACGCTATTAATTTGTTTAAGAGAATTTCAGTCAACTATAATAATACGGGAAGATGCAACCGTCCCATTACGGAACCATTTCGTCGAGTTTGTAACCATTAGATTAACTATCTCTAACGGTTACAAACTCCGACAGAATGATTCCGTAACGAAACCTTAGCATCTTTCAATAATACGTAATGCGTACAAAATTTAGTAAAGAAACTATCATGCATCATATACATTATTTTTTCAGAGCAACTTTAATAACACAATCTCACAAATTTTCTTTCTCTATTTCTAATGAGCCGCATCAGTCAAAACTCCATTCTTACTTTTTTTTTTTATTTAAACATCCCAGAGTGGGATGGGGGGTTGAGGCTACACCCCTGACATGTGAATATAATGGCCCAGAGAGGTCTAAAAAAGTCAATGGTCTACATCAAAGTCGAAAATACATAGGACAACATCAAAAAACAGAAAAATAAAAAATACAAGGATCACAAAAATATCTGATGGGGATCTAAAATCAAATCCTCATAAAAGGTCGTCCTGGTCAAAGTGACCTGGCATGGGGTCCAAAACATCAAATCTAGTCAGGGTCAGGTGGTGACGGTCGACCGAATCTGAAAGATGGGTACTCTAGCTGGTCCATCCGAATGAGCGTCCGAAGCCGGAGGGGAATGTCCTCAGGAAGAAGGGTGCGTCTCTGGGGTATAGAAACCCCTGTACCAGCAAGGAAATCAGCGGGCTGATTTTTCTTCCGGAATATGTGTGAGATCTGGTAATGGATCGAGCGGAGGGTGTCTCTGATGCGCATAAGAGGAATTTTTGGATCTGCCATGAGCCCTGGTGGCCAGATGTCAAAAGTGTGATGACAGATGCAGCATCCATCTCAATCCAGATATGGGAGGAGATCGAGGCGGCAATCTCAAGACCAATTTGGAGCGCCTAAATCTCTGCATCATAACTCGAGGAGGCCCGGAGTGGCCCATGGAAGGCAGAGATGAGTGCCCCACACCATGATCCCTAATCTGGCCCCCTCCTCCAGCAGCTCCGGTATGTCTGTCGAAAGCGCCATCAGTGTTTAGCTTAACCCAAGGGGCCTTGGGTTTCAGCCAAACAACGGTCCTGGGTCGAGGATGCTAGACAGGTAAAGGAGGTGGTGGCCTCAAACGATAGGGCGGTGTACACCCTGTCCAGTCTCTTGTTGTTAGTCTACCCAGGGCGGTGAGGAGAGAGAGGTGTCTGTCAACCTGCAAAATAATGTGAGCACAAGAAAATATAATATCCTATGCTTCGCATTATTCCTTTATGTCCAGGTGGCCCATAGGATCAGACAAGGAATAAGGAAGCCCACGCGTCTACTGTGTGTGCGGTGTGAGAAAAAACTCAGAAGCTCAAAAAAAACTGTCTGTAGTGGGTAGAGGTATATGAGTATATCTAGCATAGTGCTCCACACTCTCTTCACAGTCCCACTCTCAAGGAAAAGATGGGTGAACGTCTCGATCTCAAAGGTACCGGTCTCAGCACAACAATGGCAGCGGGAGAGGAAGGAAAACCCTCTCACCTGCATCACAGTGTCAATGGGAATGCGCCATAATAGGAGGCGCCACAAAAAGACGGAAATGGTCGGGGTGAGAAGGTCGGTCCATATGGCCCCGAAGAGGCAGTTTGGCCAGTTGCCCAGCCTTACATCTCCCCAGGCCGATGATGTAGAGAATGCACCCGAAGATGTAAGTCTCTACCTCATGCCATCCAAACCTCCCTCCACAATGGGAATCTGTCGGATCTGGTCAATCTCTAGACTACTAAAACGCCCACCCTCACCAAGAATATCCTCCATCTTATCTCTATCCCAAAATCCCCCCGTCCAAAAGTCCTTCACCTGCATGAAAGGCAGGTGAGTGACTGGCCTAGTACTCGAGAGAGGGGCCTCGCTGAATCACCACTCATCCCAGAAGCTAACCTCCCCAGAACTCAAGGTCCAAAAAATGTGCTTCTGAGCACGCCTGCCAACAATGGTAAGCCGTCTCCACTGTCGACTATCCCGAGCGGTGGCTGTCACCCTGCAAGGATGGGCAGCACCACCAGGGCAATATTTTCCCATGAGGTATTGGGCCCAAAGGGACTTGCCCTCCCTAAGGCGCCACCACATCCTGTAGGAAAACGCAGTAACAACATCAGAGAAACGCCGAATCCCGAGCCCACCCTCAGAGTGGGGACGACATACGGAGTCCCACTTCACCCAGTGGGTCTGTCGCCGTCCCCGCGAGCCCTCGCCATAGCTCCAAAAATAGCGGGCTAAGATCTGATCTAACTCATGAATCGTAGACTGATGGGGGTCAAGCACCGCGAGAAGGTGAAGAGGGAGGGCACAAAGAGTGCTCTTGATCAGAGCAAGACGGCCTCCGAAGGATAGGTGTCTATGTGACCAGCCAGAAATCTGGTCAATCATCCTCTGACGGACGTCAATGAAAAGCTCATGGGAGAGATGACCTTTGTACGAGGGGGGCCCAATGTAAGGGATGGGTAAGTCCTCGCGAGCAAATCCAGTGCGCTCGTGAATCTGGTGAGCCCAATGGTCTGCAACGTGGTGGTCCATGATAAAGGTGCTCTTACTAACACTGACTAGCTGGCCAGATGTCTCACTGTAGTGGTCCAAAATACTCATGAGAGCTACTAGCCCTTTATCATTCGCACGAGTGAAAATGATAATGTCATCCGCATAAGATAGGTGGAAAATGGGAGGCCCACAGCCACGCGTGCTGTAGGTCATCCTCGAAAAATCGCGAATGAAATCGTCAAGGCAGCGAGAGAGATAGTCAGCCACCAGAACAAAAAGGGAGGGGGATAAGGGTTCCCCCTGACGAAGGCCACGGGTAGAATGGAAAAATGTCGTGGGGCTACCATTAATCAAAACGGAGAATGTGCAGTGCTCGACACACGCCTCTACACAGCTAATCCAACGGTTAGGGAATCCCATCCGAAACAGTACCTCTCTGAGAAACGACCACTCGACCCTATCATATGCTTTGGCCATGTCTAGCTTCAGCACGAGGTTCGAGGTTCGTGTTCGATTTGCATAAGAGATGTCGTGTATCATCTCCTGAGCCAGTAGGATATTATCACTAATGACTCGATCCTTGATGAATCCACTCTGGTTCGGAGAGACAAGGTGGGGGAGGAGAGGGGCGAGGCGACCGTTGAGAATTCTAGAAATGATCTTGTTAGTCACGTTGCATAAGCTGATAGGTCAATAGTCAGACCAAGAACTAGGTCCCAATCTCTTCGGATCAATATGATGGAGGTTGTTGTGAAGGACTCTGGCATCTGGTGGCCAGAGAAAAAATCCCTCACAGCTTCCTCTACGTCAGTACCCACAATCTCCCAGCAAGACTGGAAGAAGAGGGACGAAAAACCATCCGGTCCGGAGATGCTGTTGAGATCGATCCCAAACACAGCCTCCCTGACTTCCTCCTTACTCAAGAGGTCACAGAGGTCAACGAGGTAGACCGACTGCGGGATGGTCGGAAAGAGGGCTGGGTCGGGGTGCGTAAGCAAATCCCACTCAGAGGAAAAGAGAGAGTGGAAGTAAGCCCTAGCCGACTCCCGCATCTGGGACTCCTGGATCAC